TTACTTATTTTTAGTCTAAAACTAGTAATTACCTTTTTTGGTAAATGTGGAACCCTAGCTCAGGCAGGAACAACTTGAGTTTCTTTAGGAACATGCAGTACTCAATAACTTGCCTCCATCACTTGGGAGATGTTCCTGCTTGTAATATCTGTAGTAATTTGAATTCATGTTACTGCATATGTCTCTATAACAGACTCTAAAGCTATACATCCTGTTTTGGAAAGGATTCATGCAGCTCTTCCCATTAAAGGTGTGTAGTGTCACCTTTTAGTTTTTCTTTGAGAGGGCAATGATAGTCCAAAAGTTTTTTTGAATTTGTTCTTGGTTTTGACTATTGAATTTTCTCAGTTGATAAGCTTAGGTCTCTTTTCTTAAACATTACTTTATGAGCTAGAAGGCTTGAATTTCTCACCTAATTGCTCCAGAAGGGTGGAATGTTGTTACTGGGAGATACAGTGAAATTTGTGGGTTTAGGTATGTCTTCTCTTGCTCTTTTTGTTCTGAAATCACTACGCTTTGCACTGATTTTCAAGGCATAGCAATGCGGGAGACTGCAGGTTTCTGAAGTGGCACAGATAAATAGGAATCTGTTCAGACACCCTCTGATCTTACCACTTTTGAAGTGGCGTGCTTCAACATCTCAATTTGCTAAAAGAGGAATCTGTGTTATTGTAATTGTGTGCTCAGAGATTGGTGTTCTTGTTTGGTTTTTTTTTCTTTAAATAGGGAAAAAGTAAGATATGTTGGAAGCTTTTCTAACTGCTTACAGTGAAACAAAAAGTGGAACTGAATATTTGAGTTCTTGACAGCATTCAGTTATGAAAAAATATATATGTTATTCATATTCTATATTCTCTTCTATAACATTAATGGTATGTCTACAAAATTGACAAGAAGTCTTACTCATCAGAAATATATAAATAAAAAATATTAATATTGAATTATTCTCATAATTTTGTAACTAATGGGTGGTTGGTTACGTTAGTTGAGGACTGAGACTACCAGAAGATTTGTTTCCTACTGAATTTGTCTGGTTTTTTTCTTGGACAAAACAGGCTGGCTGGCTGTAGTTGGTACTGCAAGCAGTGTGAGTCAGGGCAAGCCTGAACCATGTCTGTGAATCATTGCTTCTCTTAGGAAATTCTGTGGACCTGATCTCCTCTAACAATAAACTATCCACCTACAAGGGCTCCTCGAGGGGTAAATTTTTAGTTGCACATTTTGTCGAAGCCTAGGTGCAGGTTACAGTTACCTGGAATTTGTTCTTGCTTGTTTTATAGGGGTAAGGAGTCCAACAGACAGGCAGAGATCACTGTGTACATTGCTTTACTTCCTGACATGAGGAGTGAGGATTGAATACAAGAAGCAGTTTTTTCTGCCATGGCTATATCCAGCAGTTCCTGTTCTCCAGCATACTTCAAAAGCTTTGTAGTGCTTCACTGGCCTAAAGCAGGGGCTCAGGGCAGGACTTCTTTTTCACAAGATCCCTGTTTTCTTTCAAAGTGGGGAGAACCAATACTGCCTGTGTGACTGAATTATCGAGGCATGTTCTTCTGTGTGCTGGTCTGGCATGTTATGAAAGATGTCTGTGATCTGTAATCATAGTTTCTGTGCTTGTTTAATCATCAAGGAACAATAATGCTTACCTTCCTTTGCCTTTCATCCTCCTCCATCCCACCTTGCCAAAAGCATGGGATGTTCCTGAGCTTGCTTTAACTTTTCAGTAGTTCGTTTTGGTAGCTGGAACATTTCTGCCAACAAGTTTTCCCTCCTGTGGGTACCTGTTGTACACTTGTGTCTAGAAGCAGAGGACAGTAGCTTGTCAAATATCCATGCAGTCACAGCAATGGCAGTTTCTGTGGGCTGGGCTACACTAATTTGCAAATAACCCAATATTAAACAGGTTGAATAACTTCAAACTGCAATAGCTTGGTTATTCAGGATCACCAGTGATTTAACTATGCATTTGCTGCTGGATGGAGCACTTGCTTCCATTAACCACTTCATCTAATTAAAGGTGCTTTTAACTTTTGGTACCTTTCATGAGACTGAGGTCCAAAGGCTCCTCTGACTGTAGACATCACTGTGACAACTGCTTATGTTCCTCCTCAACTACATAATCCGTAAATCTGGACAGGAATGTTTCTATGGATGGGTGGAGGGGCATCTTGCTGGCAGGTGATTCTTCTGGGCTTGCAAGACCTTACAAGACAGGCAAACCAAACACAAGTTCGTCAAAATTAATTTGTTTTCATTGAGTTTAAGGTACCCAAATAGGGAAGGAAAGGCATTGAGTGTTCAGGGTGGGGCAAGGGCCAGAAATACCACTACCACCCTGTTTAGCTCCAGGGGAATGCAAGTGGACAGGAAAACTTGGCCATCTACCAGCAGCTTATCACTATCACTACCTGCCACAAAGCTCATCACTCCCAGCTGGGATTTATGTTAGCAGCAGGGCACCATCATTGTTTGCCTGCTCCGTATCCTGAGAGCCACTCTCTCATAGTTTAAGCTGACAGTACTTCTTAGCAAAGCTGGTATGCTAAACCGATTTGGGGGTTTTTGTGGGTTTGGGTTTTTGGTTTTGTGTTTTTTATCTTACCTTGAAATCCCATCCTCCTGCATAATTACCTGTCTTTGTTGAGAAAAATTGCAGTGGAGAAAAGGCTTGTTAGTTGATGGGATAAGAGAGGATGAAACAGGTCTCTCAATCCTCATTCCTTTTGTGTACACTGGAAGCCTCTTGGCACAAAGATAGCTGGATTTACAGTGCAGCAGGGAACCACACTGGCTTCTCTTGAAATAATAGGGCAGATGCTACAAAAGATTATGCAATAAAACCTATATGTTACTTCTAAGAGGCTGGGTTTTTGATAACTGTTGTAGGTCTGTTTATTAGGTAAATAACTAGTCTTTCCAGATAAGAGGTAGGATACAATATACACTGGAAAAATTTATGAGAGCTAAAAAGTAACACATGCATATATTGACAGCTGTTTACAGCACTAGTTTGTGTGTTTCATTTAATTCCTGAATTTTATTTCAAAACCTTCAGACAATGCGGGATTGAGACTACAGTGGTTGAAAGCAAAGCAACTGAGAATGTATTTGAAAAGCCTGCATATGATATGCATTCCTTTTATGAGAAATATTTCCTTTCTGACCTCCTCCTGCTTTGTATTTAACATTTCAAAGAACTTTGGAGGACTGTCTGTAGGCTGTGTCTTCATGGAGCCAGTAGCCAAGGATTTAAAGTATTGTCATTGCTGGCCTGGAGCTGAAAACTCCGGGCGGTTTTAATCTCAGGGTGGGGGGTGGTGGGGTGTGTGTTTAAACCCAACCTTTTGTGTTCAGATTAGAAGTGCAGGAGGATATACTTAAGGGGTGTTAGTGAGAGTCTTTTCATTGGCAGCTAAGTAATAGCATCGGGCTTTGGAAATACTGTTTTCCAAGTCTTTGTTATTTCAGTAATTACTGTGTGGTGGGTAGAAATCCATAGGGTTTGTGTTTTTTTTAAGTACCACAGCAATGACACAGGGATGTGGGCAATAAAAAGCAGGACTTCTTTTTTATAACTTTTTACTCCTTGGACGACTTAGGGCACTTACATATCTTCTCGGATAGTCTATCATTGTTTCAGTCCTGAATGTCTGTGTTTATTTTGTCTTGGTTCCATCAGCTTGGATAATAGTAATAGCCATCTTTGGAGAGGAAGGAAGACTAAAACAATTTGGCACTAGCATCATGCTTGACAAATCTGAAATCTGCCAGCTGTGAAGGCAGCTTGCCTGATCTACCTTACAATGTCTGAGAGATGGAAAGGTTACCAAACATCTCCCTCATCAAGAAAGAGATCAAGAGATAAGTTGCTGAGCACTTGCGTATAGAGTTTATTTTACTTTCTGTTAGAATCTAAGAAATGTTGGTCCTGTGTATTTGTTGATTCCTGGAATAGCTGAGGGTAAAGAGCACTTGAAATTTTTATGTACGGAAACATGATGACTACTTGCAAGAGTTTCTTAGATGAGCATCATAACTAGTAAGATTTACCACACTTGGCTTGTGTAGGTATTGAGTTCAGTTCAATAGTGATCAGTTTTAATGAAGACTAAAGACTTTCTAGCTCTTAATTTTGTACATGATTCTTATTCAGACAGAATTCTAATGCTGGAAAATTGTCTCACTTAAGATGCTTGCTTCTTTTGAAAAAGGTATTTTTAGATTTCCAGAAATCTAAAATTCTCTCTGCCTTACAAAAATTCATTGTAATACAAAAACCATTTTGAAATAAACCTTATCCTATGCCATTGCCATTCACATGCTTTAAAGGATATGAGTATGCTTTTGTGGTGGGAGGGAGGAGTGTGCTTTTCAGAATTAGACAGGAAACTTTTTCTTTGTTTTTGTAATTTGATTTTAGTTTACCTTTCTTAATTTGACTATTTAAATTTGGCCATTGTAATGATATTCCTTTGTAATAAGGAGTGTTTTTCTTCATAACATCTACATGTTTCACTTATTTTTTGCCTTGACTCTGATAGGAAAGTTGTAGGTTGAAAAATTCACACAGGAGACTGCTCTTATATGTGATGTGTCACTGAAGTGCTATGTTAGAAGCATTTCACTAAGATGAGGCTCTGGGTGCTGCTCGCTTCTGCTTAGCTCCATAGAGGAGTTAAAGATCTGGCACTGACCTTCCAACAGTCTGGGAGGTACAGTGCTCTGCTGGATTTAAGTCCCTCTTCATGTTTAAAAACAAATAATAACAAAGTAATATAGAAGGATATATATATATGTATATAAAAAGAAGTAATAGAGCTCCGTGTGGTTGATATATGTACTTTAACAGATTGCACTGTTAAAGCAGGGCATCACTTAGTAAGACAAAAATTATTTTGTTGGACTAGTCCCGAGCTGAAACATGTAATTTTCTTACAAGGTGATGGGAGAGCTTTGAGACCCAGGGCTATAAAATGTTTTTTTTCTTGTTCTTCTACTAGAATACAAAAATCTCTACACTCAGGAGAAATGCTCAGAACAGCTTCTACAGAGAGGCAAGTGCAAGAGATGCCTGCATAAACCTTCATCTGAACAGGGCAATGGGAAATTGTCTCTGGGTACACACAGGTGGGTAATGTCAGAGCATCAAAAGCTAAGTGGAGGGTGGCAAGAAACTGTGGTAAGCAGGAATAGGCAGGGTAGCTGTCCAAGAGGAGGGGCATCCTTCTGACAGTGCTCTGTGTCTTCAGAAGAGAAGATAGTTTTCAGGGTCCCACTGAAAACTAATGACTAAAGAGTGCCACCTTCTTGGGAACAAATTGACTGCAAATCTGCAGTGTGGTCCAGAGGACATGCAGGCTGATAATTTTGCATTGATTTTCCAGAAGCCTTTGGGTCAGGCATGTGTTCAGTCACCTAATTTCTATTTTGGTTTGACTCCTCTTTAGTGTTTTTCCCTGCCCAAATACTAGGATATGACAATGAGACAGCCTCTGAATCTGAGACTATAATAAAATATCCAAGAAGTAATTGAATTACTTTTTTTTAAGATGATGAATCAATGTTTTTTTGCTCTTGGGTTTGTCTCTTGCTTGCACTCTCTTCAAACTGATTGATGGGACATGTACATTTTCAGTGCTAAAACACTATTTTGAAAGCCAATTTAATATAGGCAGAGCTTCATGGACATATGAATGTAAATTCATGACAACAGGCTGTTTACAAAGGGTGGAGTAGCCTATTTTCAGGCCTCTCAACTTTTCTAAGTTTTATAAGATCTCTGCCTGTTACACAGGCTATATATATAATCTATAAAATATACTCACTATATTGCACAGCTGTATAAGCAAGAATTCTGAGAGGGAGCTTAGTATTGGGTTGTTCAGCAAATGCTTTGTGGCATTATAGCAGCTGCTGGGATTTAGTTCCCTTGGTATGCTGCTTCAGTTTTTAGGACTGTCCATCAACTATGTTCACTGTCCCATTTGCAAACATGCCTTTGGTGCTTTGTTCAGTTTTGCGTATTGCGTTTAATTCTTCTAGACAAGAATTTAGAGCTTAAAACCAACATACTAAATAATAGCCAGACAACATGCAAAACAGTGCCCACTTGCTATTATCAAGGACCTTCTTTTCTTTCTCAATGCATTTTTCCTTAAAAGGTGCCTACCTGACATGCAGAATCTGTGTGTTGTTTATTCTGCTGTAGCACCCAGGAGCTTCACCAGAGCCCAAGGCCTGCTCGTGCTTGGTGCTGCCTTGTAATCTTGTGAGGTGTTACACAAGCATAAAGCAGAAACATGGGCTCTGTGGAGGAATGGAAGGAGACACAGAGATGTGTGAATTAGTCTTTAAAAACATAATCTGTAATGGCTTTTACTGCTGGTGGGATCTACATTGCCTACTCAGCTCTCGCTCTGTTTTTTCAACTCGCAAAGCAGAAGGATAAGCTGTCTTTCTAACCTGTGGTACAGCTGGCCCCCATATATCAGTATGTTACTTAAATACCAGGGTACTAATGATATGTGACACCAGTGGAAAACAAGAAAGCCGAGGCCAACATTTTTGGCACGTCTTTTACTACTGCGTCCTTTGGAAGAGCAGGCAGTGAATGAACCGAGTTGCTGTAACTCCACTTCTCCACAGTTTTGAATTCTATTGTATGTGAGAGGTTTAATAAATGCTTGATTGTGTGCAGGGCTACTCAGGATTCATAGCTTGCCTCCCTCTTCAGCTGGTTTTGTATATTAAGGAGTTACAATCCCAGCTTCCATCCATTTTTACTAACTGGCTTTGAGTCAGTGATTATGGGGAAGGAAAAGCATGCATCAGAGTGAAGGCTGTACAGCCTGTGGTCCCTTTGGTAGGGTGGTACACTTTCAGGTAGTCTCGGATACCCAGATTTAAAACTCTTCTGCATCAGTTGTCTTCTGTGCAGAGCAAGCACAAATGTGATCAGAAGCTCTGGCATGAAAAAAACAGGGGAACCTTTCTTCTCATAGCAGAGGCAGGTTTGTCTTAAAAATCATGCAAGTTAAAATAAATACTGCAGCGCATAAACCAGCACACAGAAAAATGAATTGGTGAGCTACAGCATGTGTGCAGCAGCAGTACTGCATTCCTGTCATCACACATTCCCAAAGCATAACAGAGAGAGAAATATGATCCGAAACTGGTTTAAGAGGTGCTGTAATTAAGCCAGGATTACTGCCATGATATAACACAACCCGATAGCATTCTGGAGTTAGACTGAAGACTTGCTTGTGATAAGCTCTAAAACATTTTCCTTTTCTTATATTTGGAAGTTTGGTTTGTTTTGGTTTTTTCCACTTACACCTTTGCCCCTGGGTTTTTTAATTTCCCTTTTGGTGGAGTTCCTCAAATGCTCTCTCCAAGGAAAGAAGGTTGTCTCAGCAAGCCCAACTTCAGTGCAAATAAATCCATCAAGAGAGGCTGCCTTATTTTGTGACCTGGGCCACAAGCATAGATTACAAGTACTTGGCCTCTCTTGCATGTTTGAGTAACAACAAGTACTAGGGTGAGGTGGCAAATTAATAGTGTTGGTGTCAGAAGTCTTAAGGGCTGCTGTGAAAAGAGGATGTGCCTCTTCAGGCACAGTTTTCTGGTTTGCTCTTGCCAGTGTATCTGATTACAAAGACCTGGAAGGAAAAACTAATGCTTCCTACAGCCAGGGACAGTTGCAGCCTGTTGCCAGACCTCTTTAACCAGTCTGGGACTGTGCAAAAATATCTTTTTTTTTTAAAATCTGAGTTCTGTACATTTATTAATACAGGGACACAAGAAGCCACACATGAAAATGGAGAGTTCATGCAGTGGAAAATTTACTCCCTTCATGGATGTATTAATATTAGAAATGTCAGTAATTTATTTTCTCAGGAAGGCTATTACGCAGAGCTGCAGGTCTAATATAACCATGTACTGACAAGGCCTGTGATGTTATCCCCAAATTTGAAGTTTTTCCTGAGTTCCTAATTACATTTTTTTGCACCTCTTCTTGCACTCAACTTTCCTTCTCCCTCCTCTGCTTTAAGTGCTTTTCAGCTGCTTGTACTACAGACTTTTTCTTCCTCTGAGGCTGGCAACTGGGAAAAGGACACTACCATAGACTGGGAGAGAGTGAAGCCACAAGGCTTTGTGCTGAGCACCTGGCATCTAGACAGTGCTGCCTCTTGGGTGCATGTAAGACACCAGCTGTGCTGACTGTAATAAAGCAAAGTCCTTTTCATTTCCTCCCTGCGAGGCAGCCAGTTGACTCTGTGCAACAGGCAATGTAGTGACAGGGTAAGGGAGAACCCAGGCTTTGAATATATAGCTTGAGAGACAATGATTTTTGAGGTGTCTTAGCAAAGAGGGGGATTGCTTTCCTCCTTGTGTCCCCTTTATTTTGCCATTTTTATTTTAGGGTTTGGCTTGCATGTTTATTTAATTTGAAAACCTCATGCTGTCAGTCCCCAGACCAGGCAAGCTGAGGCAGTAACACCAGTCCATCCTGCTACTAAAGCCTGCTGCTCTCCCCTATAGAAACTTGTTTGTTCTGGGGAGGGAAAAAGAAGTAGCCCCAACTGAAACTTGAAATACCACATTGCATGAGAGCAATTACCCTATATGCACACGTGCTCAAGCATGCATGTACACACACATGCAGAGAAATATGTACATCTACAGCTCACCATATTGTACTCTGCTACATAATTATCATTTTTCAATTGAGGAAAAATAAGCCTATGAAATGGAATCGGTAACCCTTGAGTTTTAACAGCATATTGCCACTGCCACTCTAGTGGGCCAGTTATGTCCTTTTGGTTTTGCTATTTTCCATTTTTAAAATGGGAACAGACCTGCTTAGCAACTAATAAGTGAGTGTTTATGAAGATCAAATGCAATAGATATCCTTAGTAATATTTGTTTTCTCACTTTTTGAAAGATGACACAGAAGGTTTTCAGAAGCTCAGATTTTGAATTGCTTCTCCAAAAGCCTCCAGGCTCCCTATGAATTTGGACTGAATCAGGGTTGTGATTGAAAGCCTGAGCACATAACAATCCTTTGTAATGTCTTACATGTACCTAAGCTGCTTTTTTTGAAATTCGTAATGTTAAATCAGCGCCTTTGAAATGGCTACTGTTATGTTGCCAATTCCTGATAAGGAATTGTTAGGTTAGAAGGGAGGCTGGATGCCTAGTTCTGGTTTAGTTCAGACCTTTTTCCATCCAAGATCTCTATGGTCTATTCATCCAAGCCTCGCCTCTCCCTCTGGTAACTCAAGAAAGAGGTGGTACCTGTTGGACTTTAAATGACAAAATTATAAAAATAAATGCTTTGGCTAATTCTGATTCTCAACACAAAACTTCTGAATCAATGCATCAAGCTTTGAAACCATCTCCTTTTCCTCTTTGCCATTGACAGCAAGTGATCAGATGCCCATCAGCTCAGTTCCTGCTTGGAAGGAGTATTTTTCCTTATCCAACAAACTCCCTCAGATTATTTCCATTCTTCTTTTTACAATTAGGCAAAACTTTACCAGTGTGTAATAGATAGGCAAAAATATTTGTAAATTAAATTAACATTTCCCAATGATTTTAGCCAAAGAAAATGAGTTCTCCCTGCTCCTGTTGGGACTGTTGGATTAAACAGTCTATTTTTAGTATTTCAAAATGTACTATTGCTCACCAAGCACGACAGTTGTTTGATGCTGGGAACTTTCCTTCCCCTACTCTGCTCTAAAAAGCTGTATGAATCCAGGCATTTATTGTCTTTTATTGGGGAAAAAAAAAGTTAAAGAACAAAATGTTGTGGGCTGCTTTTAAGTACTCAAATTTTAGCTAATGATTTTATTTCAGTTTGGCCACCGAAGCAAAAAATCAATTACACGGTTCTAGCAATTTTCCAAAGAAAACAGCCAAAACTTAAATTTGGTCTTTAATTATATATTTGATTCATCCCAGTAACAACACTTGACTTCAAACAATACAAGAGCAGGAGGAAACTTGCTCTGAATTCCTCTCTTCAAAGAGAAGAACTCTTTCAGATACCATGTCAGAAAGCTTTAAGCTGAAATTGATTAAGATAACTGTGAGAAGACTGAATAGGAGTTTTAGCTGACTGCAGGTCTCAGTACTGAAAGGAGGCCTCCAAAATGGCTTTTAAACAAACCTCCCCACGTTTGGGAAGGAGAGTTGACCTTGCTAGGTGGATTGCTTATTCCTCTCATTCCCTGCTCCCACCATATTAACATGAAAATAACTTTTCATAGCTGCAGGAACAAGTTATTTTCCCTTAAAATTATCTTACAATGAAAATTCATTCTGTTATATGTGCCAAAACCTATGAACCAGCCTGATCCTACAATCAGAAAGTAGAAGGTATCATGTGTTAATTGTATGTACTATATTACTCCCATGACAACTCCTGCAAGTGTACAAATTCAATTGATTAAAACTATTTGAAGGACTAATGTGCACTGCCACTGGTTCATTAGTGCACAGTAAATTGCTCAAGAAGAACTGGGATATGTGTGCTTTATCTGAATAGCTGCAAAGCTATCCCCGTTTTTTTTTATTTGATACTTGTTAGAATAACTCTGAGACTGTACTCATGTATTTCTAGTTGGGAGTAATTATGCAGAAAGCCAGCGTAACGATCACTACTCTTGTCTGGTGTCCCCCTCTGCTTTGTTCTGTCTTTCTGCTTCTGGGCCTCATTTTTCCTACTTGTCTCATGTCTTCTTTTAATGGAACAGACTGATATCTAGGGCCGTGTCTAGATTAGGAGCAAAGGCTGAGTTTAGTTCAGCCATAGGTTGAAGTTAGCTGGCCACCTATTTTCAACCAGTTCCTGACAGCCGTCACCCATTCAACTTTGAGACATAGAATTTACGCTCCTGGCTCGAATTTAATTTGCTTTTACATCCAGTAAAATGGGTAGGATTTTAGGTTTGACTTAGCTGGGTAGTGGTAACCAATCTGTCCTAACCTCAGCCTTTTATGACAGAAGTTGAATGATTCTAGACATTCTTACTGTTTTTCTGGTCTGAGGGTGAAAAC